ATCACGTAAGTGCTTCATATTTCAGCATTCCGGCTATCTGACGTACTAGTATCGTACGTATGATATTTAAAAGACCTAATCTAACTATTGAGTGCTTCTTTAAGCATTTGGCTGCCAAGGAATGACGGCAACCGATGAAATAAGACAGAAATTCCTCAACTTGATCAACAAAGTCCGCTCACGAGTCGCGCTGGGAGAATTCAAGGCCAAGAACGTTTTGTCATCTGCCAGTGACATGCAAGCACTGGTACAGTTTCAGATGATGAAAGTAGATTTTACGTTTTAGTCTTGCATAATATTGTAACAGCATATTTTGAACGGTCAGCAATATCACATCAGCGAAGAACTCACTAGTCAATAGTCAATGTAAGCATGTTCCTAATGAGTACTGAACGTTCAGAGCTGGGATTGCGATTTGGAAGCGGTAGCAGTGAGATCGGTGCGCTACTGCGTTAGAAATCCAACACCAATTGCCTCTTCGACCTCATTAAATTACCGACTGTGAGTCAGAAATGAGTCGAATATTATTGCAACTATGGATCCTGCCTAGTTTCTCTTTTGAGACTCGTGTCTCTTTTGAAGGTCTCATATTCGCCTTTTTTTAGCTTCGGACCTGGTGCATTTACCTCCATTCGCAATCGTTCTATTGAATCAGCCGTTATGCAGTGGTCTGATATAAGAGCTTATGACTGGCCAAATAACAACGTCTTCAATGGAAATTTAAGGCTAAGTTATTTTTCCAATGTAAGTTTTCTTCGCATGAGTTTTGTTATGAACGTTACGGCAATACTTAACCTTCAGCTGATTCGTGCAATAACAAGTACCGTTGGCTGCGCCATCAATACGTGTGATAATCACACAGCTGTTGCATGTGTTTTCTCACAGCCGTAAGTAACATAATATTTGAAAGAACTTAAATGCTCAGAAATCAATATTTCAGTGATCTATACCAGGGGACACCAGTGTACACTTCGGGAGATCCATGCCAGTATGATGAACAATGCAATGCATTTTCACCAGCATATTGTGATTCGGGTCTCTGCGTGAACGCTTCGAGGCCAACCCCGACATCACCAACACCAACACCACCCGGTAAACCAACAGCCACAACGTCCTAAATTCGAAAATTTCTATCAAATCTTTTTTTCCTCAAAACAGAAAGCAGTTGTATCTCGACGTTGCTTTGAAACAAACGGTGGTTGAATTTTTGCGAAATTGAACACTATCGTCGTAGATGAAACTATTAAGATAGTTGCCGGTTCGACGTTCACCACAAACTCCGAGTTTTACTCTTGTCTCAGCTTTATTGTGGAGATTTCACATGATTTCTAACATGAGCAAAAAGAATTAGATGGCAACTAAACCCAAAGCAGCAATAAGATTTCAATCACTATTTTCTTTATCTATTGAAAACTCAGTCGAGTGGAGTATGTTGAGGACATCCCGCACAATCTAAGTGCAGAAAGGATTTCTATGAGTCTCACTCACGACAGCGATGAAAGTTTGGAGAGAACGCAGCATATGCTAAAATGTTAGAGACCGTTTTGTTGGAAAAAGAGTAGATGCAACATTTCGCTGAGATATTAGATTATTGCTTACAACATCGTTGTGCCTATTATGTCAAAAAAAAATCTGACCATTTTGCTCAATACCTGTTTAAGCATTCGGCTGTCAACGAATGACCGCGAGCGATCAAACCAGGCAGAAATTTCTCAGTTTGATCAACAAAGTCCGCTCACGAGTCGCACTGGGAGAATTTAAGGCCAAGAACGCTTTGTCATCTGCAAGTGACATGCAAACAATGGTAGAGTTTTGAATGATGGCAGTAGATTTTACATTTTAGTCTTGCATATTATAGCAGTATGTTTTGGACGGTCATCAACATTTATTCCACATAAACAAACAAATCACAACAGAAATCAATGTCAGCAAATTCCTAATGATTAATGAACGTTCTAGAGCTGGGATTGCGATTTGGAAGCGGTCGCAGTGAGAACGGTGCGTTACTGCCTTAGATATCCAACACCAATTGCCTCTTCGCCCTCATTAAATTATCGACTGTGAGTCAGAAATGAGTCGAATATTAATGCAACTATAGATCCTGCTTAGTTGCCCTTTTGAGAATCGTGTCGCTTTTGAAGGTCTCATATTCACCAATTTTTTTTTAGTTTCGGGCCTGACGCATTTACTTCCATTCGCAATCGTTCTATTGAATCAGCCGTCATGCAATGGTCTGATATAAGAACTTACGACTGGCCAAGTAACAACGTCTTCAATGGAAATTTGAGGCTAAGTTATTTTTCTAATGTAAGTTTTCTTCGCATGAGTATTTTGTTAAGAAGTTACTGCAATCCTTCACCTTCAGTTGATTCGTGCAATAACGAGTACCGTTGGCTGCGCCGTCAATACGTGTGATAATCACACAGCTGTTGCATGTGTTTTCTCACAGCGGTAAGTAACATAATATTTGAACAAAACTTCAAAGTGCTCAAAACACTATTTCAGTAATCTAAGAAAGGGGATGGCAGTGTACACCTCGGGCGATCCATGTCGATATGATGAACAATGCGTTGCATTCTCCTCACCACATTGTGATTCCGGTCTTTGCGGGAACGTTTCGACGGCGACTCCACCGACCCCAGCGCCAGTAATACCGGGTAAACTGACGACCACTACGTAGAATGAGCATAAAATCAAAAATTAATAGCACATCATTCTTTTCACAGATAGAAAGAGGATTTGTCTTGAAATGGTTCAATACCAATTTTTGGTTGTATTCTTCAAAAATTAATTCCATCTCTGAACAAAAAAAGTAATAAAATAATTGACGCTTCAAAGTTCAATAGGGACTCTACGTTCTACTCTTATCTCAGTATTCTTACGAATGAATTTGACATGGTGCGTGAAATGAGCAATTAAGAACAGCTGGCAAGTAAAACTCAAAGAAGTAATGAAATAATGCTCATTAGTTCTTCCCTTGCGCCATTGAACGCTTAGTCGATAGGAGGATGCTGAGGGTATGCCGTGTAATGCAATTGCGAGAAGGAATTTTACGAGTCTCACTTAGATCAGCAATCAAAGATTAGAGAAATCTTAGTATATGCTAAAATGTTGAGAACCGTTTTGCTTTGAAAAGAGTAGATGCAACATATTCGCTGAGACATTAATTATTCCTTACATAACGTCGATTGTACGGTATTTTTAAAGAATCTGATTAAATTTCTTCATAGTTTGTTAAGCATTTGGCTGCCAAGAAATGACCGCGACCGATGAAATCAGACAGAAATTCCTCAGCTTGATCAACGAAGTCCGCTCACAAGTCGCGCTGGGAGAATTTGAAGCCAAGAACGTTCTGTCGTCTGCGAGTGACATGCAAGCACTGGTAGAGTTTTAGATGATGGAAGTAGATTTTACGTTTTAGTCTTTCATATTGTAACAGCATATTTTGAACGGTCAGCAATATCACATCAGCGAAGAACTCACTAGTCAATAGTCAATGTAAGCATGTCCCTAATGAGTACTGAACGTTTAGAGGTGGGATTGCGATTTGGAAGCGGTAGCAGTGAGATCGGTGCGCTACTGCGTTAGAAATCCAACACCAATTGCCTCTTCGACCTCATTAAATTACCGACTGTGAGTCAGAAATGAGCCGAATATTATTGCAACTATGGATCCTGCCTAGTTTCTCTTTTGAGACTCGTGTCTCTTTTGAAGGTCTCATGTTCACCTTTTTTTTAGCTTCGGACCTGGTGCATTTACCTCCATTCGCAATCGTTCTATTGAATCAGCCGTTATGCAATGGTCTGATATAAGAGCTTACGACTGGCCAAATAACAACGTCTTCAATGGAAATTTAGGGCTAAGTTATTTTTCGAATGTAAGTTTTCTTCGCATGAGTATCTTGTAATAAACGTTACTGCAATCCTTCACCTTCAGTTGATTCGTGCAATAACAAGTACCGTTGGCTGCGCCACCAATACGTGTGGTGATCATACAGCTGTTGCATGTGTTTTCTCACAGCCGTAAGTAACATAATATTTGAAAGAACTTCAAAAATGCTAAAAAATCAATATTTCAGTGATCTATACCAGGGGACACCAGTGTACACTTCGGGAGATCCATGCCAGTATGATGAACAATGCGATGCATTTTCTCCAGCGTACTGTGATGCTGGTCTTTGTGTAAAGACCTTCAGCTCAACTACAATGCCCGCGACGACAACAGCAGAATTTGTTGGACCTGATCGTGTATGAACGAAAGCCTGATGAAGATGTTGGAAAAACTCGAATTTTGTAAAAATTTCCAACACGTATTTTTCCTCTGAAATAAAACAGCAGAATGTTCTTGGTGTGATTTTTACAGCAATTAAAGACTGCATGTTTGCGAGACTGAATTTCTTCACTGCACATAGAGCTAGCAAAATAACTTTCCATTCGAAGTTCACTTAGACTTCCGAGTTCTAGTCTTGTCTCAGCTTCCTTATAGATCAATTTTACATGGTGCTTATTCTGGGAAAAGTATAGGCAACAAATATAGGTGAAAACTTGGGTATCTACCTGAATACTTGGATGGCCGTTTCACTGGTACCGCCACAGCATGGCTTGCATTCGTTTCTCTCCTCGCAACTACCGCCCATAATGGTGGTCTCTTTCGCATATGGCGATGTGCGCGCGGTCCATCCCGTAGATTAAACCTCGTTGCCATCCAAAACCAGGTAACTGGAGTAAGCCACAAACAGGACTACCCATCGTCTCGTTGATCTTCCAAGAGGGCCCATGCATTCTCTCGGAGTCCACTCGACTCTTCTTTTCGTTCATCTGTCATCTGTTCTCCTCACTGTGTGACCGACCAATCTTGGTGTCGCCGTCTATATACATTATTTTGACCACAAATGTGAGATAGACTTCAAAGAATTGAGCTGCGCAAGCAGTATAGGCGTTGTGAGCACCGACTAAATTTGAAAAGACATCCAATGGTGTGGAGTGCTGTGCAAAATTGTTTGCGTCAGCTGGGACTCGAACCCAGATTTCACTCTTCCGGGAGCGCGTGCTGAACCATTGCACTACCGACTCTTTTCGCACACCATTCCTTCTACGCTACAACGCGTTATCTGTCGAGCCAACCGTCTACGGTCTGGCGTGGGCAGTCACTTATCGGCATTGAACCCATCAATGTTAACAGATAGTGGATTTCAATAATCAGTCAGAAATCATTTTATTTGACTGCTTATTGCAGTGTTATGATTTTCAGCACGCGCTCCCGGAAAGAATGGAATCTGGGTTTGAGTCCCAGCTGACGCAAACGTTTTTGCACACCACTCTACATCATTGAGTTTATTAAAACATAACAACACTGCAATAGGTGGTCAAATAAAATGATTTCTTAGAAGACATCGTCCAAGCGCTCTGTGAGTATCAACCAGACTTCTTGAAGTAGTTGTAGTATCAGTCGATGACTCTGCGTCAACCTCGCCTTGAGGTAGTTGAATGTATGTCTAGCCATCACAGTGACATGTGGTGGCCTGCCTATGTATCAGTAGCAGCCTCTTCGTACACGTTCTACCCAATGCTGCCGTGCCAGGGGCTATTACCGACAGTATTCCTCGGTATGTCAAGAGATCCCCACGAGGCCCACCGACCCGTTCATCCGATTTCTTCACGAAAGGCATAGAAGAAAGATATGATGCTCAGCGAATCCCTATGCAAGGAGGACCCACTGGGCCACACTCTTTCACGTGGTAAGGAAAGATGTTTCTGGTACCCGCTCGAGTCACTCGACGATCAACGAGGCGACAGGTCTTAAGTGACAGGGGATGCTCCACATCATATTGAGTGCGTTTTTATACGCATGCTTCTGTCTATTCAGTCGTTTCTCCATATAATAGTATGTTACTTGGAGACTTAATTGCATGATTTCGGTCCAACTAATTTGTATATAAACAATTTGATTATCGAGTTTTGAGATTAAGCTAATCTATATGATCCGTTTGACGAAAATCGTACTCGCTCTACATCTGCAGAAGTCTTAACCCTTTTAGAGCCATGCGAGAAGTTCCTTACCACACCGTGTGGCATGGCATCTCACTCGGCTACTGTAATGGAAGCGTCGCGCCCGTGAAAAGTGCCGCTTATACCGTGGGAAGATAGAAGCAGCCAGCATAACGGATGCGAGGAGACAAACTTAGGTTCTGAGGGAACAGTACCGTCATGAAATGATGGAATTTCATTAAAAGGCTTCTAGAGAGCAAAAGGTGCTCTTGGCAGCCCAGGCGCACGATGCACGGCATTCCCGCACAGAGACGAAGATGCCGCCGTGTAAGACTGCCGCAGAAGCGACGGCGCCACACCGCCTGTTTACCAGCGGTGGTCCTCAAAGGGTTAGCTGCAGCGAATACGATCTTCATTTTTTCGGTAATACTGGCATATACATTATATATGTGCATACACCTATATATGTGTATACACACATATCATATATAAATGTGTATACACACATATCTATATATATATGTGTATGTATGGTTCCTCCATAAGCAAGCACTGATGTTGTTTCTGTCACAGATAGCCTTACTGAAGTCTCGTTGATCATTCTATCATTTACTGACAGTGAAACAATCTTCAGTGACGATAGAAGATTCATAGGAGAACTATACCATTGGATAGAAGAGTGCCTAATCTAAAATCGGCCGCGTCGCGTGTCAGACGAAAAATCAGCATCGAAGAGAAGAAGTCGAGACGATTGCTCAAGAAAAGTTTAGAAAAGTTTCTGATCACGTTATCTTTTTATGTAGATCACCTATCACGACATAAATGTTCGCATGAATCACTGTGATGCATGTAGTCTGTGAGCCCAATGGTATACGTCTATACAAGTGCACAGTGTTTAGATTTTGCTTACGTGTCAGACTTAAAAAGAAATATACTACGCTCGTCATACATAGATAAATGTAATCTGAGAGCAATAAGGAACCGAGAGATTAACTGGGGAAACTCACCGCTTTTGGGGTAGCCAGCATCCATAAAAAAATTCCCATAGAAATCAATGAAAATTTAGATTTTGAAACCTTCTCTTGGGTGACTCTACAAGCAATAATGTCGTACTGGAATTCATCAACACAGCACTATTTGATTAACCAGAAGCTAAAAGTTTTCTTTATGAACTCGGTCTTTTTATCAATGATTTTTTTTCTTCCCGTTTTGCTACAGTGTCTATTGCATGGCATGTTTGTCAAAATGCGACGTATGGTCGAGAAGATGAGACCTTCAAAAGACAGATTAGATTAGTTCGTTCGGAGAATAGGCGTAAATCGCTGACTGCTCTTTGTTTTTGGCTTCTGTGATCTTAGATTAGCATTGAATAGGTAGAATTTAGATGATAACACGCCTAACAGGTAGCATGGACACAACAGTTACACAGGTTTGATAATCACAGCCAGTATGATCCACATTCGTTGTGCCAGTCTCAGCAGAATTTCTCATCTTTCCGAGATCGGCTAATTGGTAAGTGACTTCTCTGGGAGAATAACAAAACCAATCTGACCCATCGGTGGGCTACTGCAAGCTTTGCAAAGTTCCTATATGCATTCAGTCACCCTTAACCCTTTGGGGACGCGATCAATTTCGCGTGAAGGGCGGCTCGGAGTGCTACGAAGTGCGGTTGATGGCGCGTTCCAATAATATTCGATTCTTTTGTTTTATAAGGGAACAATGAATACCCGACCTCTTCGCTGGACAGGAGCTTTTCATAGGAGTGTTAGTAATTATTCGAGAACTTAAAACTCTAGCTACAGCATCACGTGGCCCGCTTTCGAAAAAGCCTTTTCGTGACGTTTTTACAGAAAAAAATCCCCTGTGTCTCTCACACGCATTTTTCTCGCGATGCAGAGCTCTTTCTTTGGATCATTAGTAATCATTCAACAGCGTAGTATTTGCTGATTCCGGCGCTACGCTTATTTTCTGGAAAGACCGTTTCTGTGCATTGCAACACGGAAATTAAGATCAATTCACATCCGCGAGAAGTTGCCTTCTGGCTGTTTCGTAAGGTGGGGAGAGGCGTGCTAAGGCGATTGCGGCCGTTTTCACATGATCACCGATCGATTCGCATTTTGGTCCAGAAAACGAGCACAGCGCTGGAATCAGCAAATATTACGCTATCGAATGATTACCATTAGCCCGAAGAAAGTGCACTTTCTGGCAAGGTGTGTAGCACAAATGTTTTTTTTTCTCCTATCAAAAAAGCTTTTCCAAAAATCAAACATATTCTTGCATTCTTCGAAACTTGTGCTATCGAAGGAGTTTTGACAGTTGAAGGAGGCGTTTTGTCTAGCGAAATATAAACGTGATAACTCTTATGAAACGTTAGTGTTTAGCAAATGAGGTCGCATATTCATTTGTCCCTCATAACCCTAAAAGAAGCGATATAATACTTCCACGCACTTTTTTAAGGTTTTCGAGGCTTTGGTATCACACGTTAGTGGCATGCGTACACTTCGCCGGCTCTGACCGCCTCATCACTATATCCGCCCCTTAATGATATAGCAAAGGAAGAACATGCAACGGTTCGAGTAAAGTGAATACTTCACGTCTTGCACCGTTTGTTTTTCAGTCGATGCCATGCGGCTTTTATTACATCTGAACATTGCCTTCGTTCGAGTGATTTTTTTAAACCCTTTGAGAAACACCGTTCATAGGCAGGCGGTGTCGCGCAGGCCTGCTTTCCCAGCTATCATCGTGCATGAATGTGTGGCTCTTTGGCCTGCTTTACCCACGAAACGCGACGCCGTCATTACAGCAGCTGGAAGAGATTTGACGTCGCGCGGCTTGGTACGAAACGCACCATATGGTCCTTAAAGAGCTAAAGAATCACTTTACGCACAGCGACGCATGTTGTCCTTTGCTACTATCACTAATGGGCGCGTTGTATTGACGAGGCGGGCGTAATCGCCGAAACGTACGTACATGACTAACATGCCATACCGCAACCTTGGAAGACTCAAACGGTTGACTACCGCTGAGCCTAATTAGGCGCGTCTTCCAGCGTGGGAAACGACTCCACCTCCTCTGCTCCGATTAGTCGCCAACCACAGTACTGGTTTTCGTTGCAAGACCCGAAGCTAAATTTGGGGAATGGGTCTTGCAAAGAAAAGCAGTACTGTAGTCGGGACTAATCGGTGCAAAGGTGGTGGAGTCGTTCCCACGCTGGCGGAAACGCCTAGTTAGGGTCCGCGGAAGTCGACTGGTTGAGAAAGTCACTGATGATTTATTGAGGCTCTATAACGAGATTTCACAAAAGCAGTCGAATGAAGGCGATAATGTAATAGTTTTGCATCAAAGTTTAGATTTTTATCGTAATAAAGAAAGTTTCATCGCTGTTAAAAGATAAAATATTACTAAAGAGATTTCATTGGCTATTTTTAGCAGGGAATAACGCCAATGCTTCCCAAAATTATGAAGTTCTCAACGGAAAAAACCCAGTGTTTGCTTTTAGTTCATGTTTATTATGCACCTAGTTCTTTTGTTTTGAAGAATGAGTGGTCGCGCAAATGTGGCTCGGTGGTGTAGTGGTAGAGCACGCGTTCCCAGAAAGGATGAAACGCGGGTTCGATTCCCGCCTGAGGCCGCGTTTTTGCTCACCACTCAGTTCTCTTAGGAATATAGAAAACATCATAACTGCGAAATGCATTAAAAATACTATTAATTTCGAGTACTAGTACCTAGTTCAGTTACCCAAGTTAGCGGTGGAAAGAGCACTGCCACAGACCACCACAGCTCACCGCCTTGCCACTTGAAATCGCTGCGGGCGAGGAAATCCACAGCACAATCCCGACTTAACGTCCGTAAAATAGAGAACACTGGATGAGGAAGCAGACTGCGCGCATTATTGACGCCTAAATGGGTCTACGGTAAGCCTTACTCGTTGTATCGTGCTCACCACAGTTTGGCCCCGAACGAACTCCTGGACCGTTTTCGATCTGCCGTAAAATAGAGTGCAGTAGGTGAGCGAACAGATCGCACAACGATTGACGCCTAAATCGATCCAAAATAATCGTTTTCTTGCCGGATCGTCTTCGGCC